AATATTTAAAAGTTTTAATTAATAATTTAAATAAGATTATAATGATACAGTTATTTTTACATCTATATTTTTATTTCTTGGATGGCTAAAATTTTTAGTTTGATTTTAAATGAAACATCAAGCAGTCAGTTTCTAAATAAAATGATAAATATATTTATATATTGAACTTGAATGTTCAATATTCAGAAATTTACACAATTTTTTAACATTTTTCATGTGTATAAATTCGTATATTTGAATTCAGTAAACTGCAAACGAAATCATCACAAATCCAAGTAACCAGAGCATTGATCGAAAAAATTAAATTTATTTTGTCCAAATTTTGCAAATTATTTCCTACTATTTTGCTACTTATTGTCTTCTCTCTATACACATTGGAAATGCTATGAAAGATAATTGAAACGCTTAAATTATTTCAAAACTTAAATAATCCTATGTGAAATGCAGAATTTGTATCCCCGCAATTATCTTCAAAGATTATTTCAGTTACTTAAATATTCCAAGCAAGATAATTCCTTGCTTAAATGACAGCTAAAGTGTCTGTCACTCTTCAACACAATAAAAATTACATAAATATTTTAAATAAACAGTATTATCATAATTTTTAATGATGTCAACTATAGCTATCGAAAATCGAACCGAAAACTTTTGTAATTATCTAATATTTATAATTCTGATATATTATACATATATGTAGTTGTTAACGTGCATTTCATTTATATATACATATAAGCTTCGTCCACCGTGCTCATCATGTATGTGCAATACATTATTTCGCTCAAGTGCGGCTGTATGTATTGGCGTATCCTGTAATTAATACTAGCTACGAGGTTTGTCGTTCAACATAATCATCCGATAAAGATCTAAATTGGTTGTTTTCCATTATACAATATTTGTACGTTTCTTGAAACATGCGCAATGTTACCGCGAAATAACTTTCGCACGATCCCTATTGCGCGATTCTGTACAATATATTACACAAATTAATTAAATTATCTTCCCATTTAATTCATAACATCAATTTCATTAAATCATTTATACGTCGACAGATTACTTATTAGCTTGTTTTTCGACACTGAACTCTACAAATACATCAGAATCAAAGACACTTTTATTATATTATTAATTTTTTTATATATATATATATATATATATATATATATATATATATATGTGCGTAAAACAATACGCGTTTTTTAAATGCATTAAATTTTCAGAGGAATCCTATCGTTGGAGATAAATTTGCGTCAAGGGCGGGACAAAAAGGAATTCTTTCACGGCTATATCCTGTCGAGGATTTACCATTTACAGAAACCGGGATGGTCCCCGACATTATTTTCAATCCGCACGGGTTTCCAAGCCGTATGACAATAGGTGAGCTGGAACACAAGTGCATTTTACTCTGTCTTTTAAATTATCTGTACTATGATAACAGAAATTCTGATAAATTTTTTAATTCGGGCTTAGCGTAAATATATTTATAATATTAAAAACTATATATATATATATATTTTACAAGATAGATTATCAAAAAAATACGAGTGTAATTTTTCATTTTTTTCCATCACAGCTATGATGATTGAAGTAATGGCCGGAAAGTCAGCGGCTGTGCATGGACTAGTTCACGATGCTACACCCTTTAGATTCGATGAGGAGAACACAGCTATAGACTACTTCGGGAAATTATTGGAACTTGGTGGCTATAATTATTACGGAACTGAAAGAATGTATTCGGGCATATATGGATGCGAGATGGAAGCTAGCATTTTCTTTGGTATGGTCCATTATCAAAGATTGCGACACATGGTCTCTGACAAGTGGCAGGTAATTAATTTATGTAAATTTTTGTATCAGCATCTAAAGAAAGATTTATTTTCTATTCTGTTTTGTGTTTTTATTTAGTTATCATTTAAATAGCGTTTTTCTCGCGTTATCGCGTGTTTCTATTCATCTTCTTTTTTCCTATGTATGATTTGAAATTCAATAAACTGTTCAGTTCTCTTAAATTATAACGAGAACAGAATATAATACACATTTCTCTCGTTTCCAGGTAAGAAGCACCGGACCAATCGATCTATTAACGAGGCAACCCATTAAAGGTCGTCGACGGGGCGGCGGTGTTCGATTCGGAGAGATGGAACGAGATGCTCTGATCTCTCATGGTTGCTCGTATCTTCTTCAGGATCGTCTATTTCATTGTTCTGATAAAATGACGGTAAGCGATAAGAGATATTATCTCCTTTAATATTTTAATATACGCCAATGTTTACAATACGTACTGATTAAGTGTTATTTATTTATACAAAGTGTGTATTTGAGAGAAATTTCTTGATCATAATAAATATTTATTTATAGACCTTAGCGTGCCAAAAATGCGGTTCACTACTCGGACCGGAATTAATCATGAACAGTAGACATGACGAGGACGATAAAAAATGCCGTCTGTGCGGCGAAGAAGACAATGTAAATGAAATCGAGATACCATATATCTTTAGATTTCTTCTAATACAATTGGCGTCCTGCAATATTAACATTAAACTGAAATTTAAAAAAGTTTAAGCAATCGCGAAGATATGTATGTATGTTTTTTTATATCAAGTGTACAGTTTTCTTCAACAGAATAAAATTTTATTTTCTCTAACATTCCAGAGAACAGATATACATAAGACTAAAATATATTACACGTGACGGAATTCATTACATCGACGTTTATATATACATGAATAGATACATATAACCAAGAATTATTTTACAAAATTGAATTGCACGAAAGAAAAATGGGGATTCGATTATATCTTCTCTTTTTTTACAATAATACAGAGGGTGTGTTCGGGGAGACGCTATTAGCGCTAACAGCGTCGTTCTATCTTTGTTACTTATTGAAAGTTGAACAAGGACAGAACACGCTCATAGCGCTAAAAGTGTGCTCCCCGAACGCAGCCAGAATGGAAGAGAATGTAAATATCTCGAATTATACAAGCGCTTTACATAGCAGATGTAGATTACAGCGGATGTAGATTTTGTCACGCGCGCAAATTCTCTATAATATTCTTGTATTTTTTCTCCAAACAGAAAAAATCGTGATTTGTACAAGTTGTACAAATATTCAGGCTTTTGCCGACACTTGTGCTCCAGATTTGTTAGTGGACGCCCCAGATGCACCTGTTTCTTTCTCTAATTGCTTTCCAAGGTATTCCCTAAAAAGTGAGAAATTTACGAAGTAGTTATGAAATTTTTATATATAGACATTCAACAAAATTTATACACAGATGTGGAAAATAATTTTAAAAAAATTAACAAATTTATTATTTTAATAAAAAAGTCAAATAGTAAGAAATGTACATAGAAAATTCTTAACATTCCATAACTTACCAATTATGTACCATAAGTTTTTGTACTGCAAGAAGAGCCTCGTATCTAACATTAGGATCCTCATGCCCGAGAAGTTGCATTACACGTTGCTTTCCGCCAAGCTGTTCAATTATGCTGAAATACACGAGACATTATCTCAACAAAAAAATTGCAATTTTAAATGTTCTCAAATAATCAAAATGAACGGATGAAATAGAATAAAATATGAGCATGCTTCTCTATAATATATAAACGTATCTCTATAACATATAACGTACTGTTTGCCACGTGGATAATGACGCACGTATTCACCAATGTCGAAACTAGCCACACTGAGGACGAGAGGATCTTTGCTGGTTTCTAATAAATGAACGAGGATACGCAAGAGCTCGTAATTCTTCTCATTGAGACGGCTGGCATTCTCGCGCCAAAACTTGCCCGATTTGTGAACAGGGGACCACTCCAGACGACCAGATTTCACTTCCGTTGAATATTCGTCAAACGAACTTAGATCCTGCACGGACGCTTGCAATTTGTCGTTGAGGAACTCGATATCATCAATTATGTCTTCGTCGTCAAATTTCCGTTGACATAGTATCGAAAGCTGTTTCAATACCTTGCATTGCACCATAGCAATGCAATGTTCCTTAGCCACTTGCCCGTCTTCTACTTTCTCGATTAAATTCTGTAATAATATAAAAAAAATATAATATATAAAAAAATATGCAGACAATGTAATATATACATAATTTTATATTACGCTCGGTTCCTTTTATTCTTCGACATTCTAACTTACCCTGAATACTGCAAGTATAATACGTGTTACTTTTTCTTTGACCGAATCACTAAGTATATCGGCGAGGATGGGTATGACATTGAATCTACAATATGACATAATTTTAGATATTATTAGTTATACTGAACATTATGAGTATTTTTAATAAAATGTATACCAAATAAGGAAGAGAGAGAAGGGAGAGTTACTTACTTGTTCATTTTTTCTGCCAGAAGAGGATTGAAAGTAAGTACCCACAAACAGAAAATAAGCTGATATTGCACTTGGAAGTTTACTCTTCCAGAGAGAACACTGAGAAGAGTTGAAATACCATCAACGGATACGAACGCAAAGCGATATTCGTCTATACGAAGCATCATTTGTAGACAACGTGCCACTGATTGGATGTACTCGTTATTCTAAATGAAAGAAATATCATGTGTATATCTTCTATGTTCCCCGGATAAAAAAGATAAAATATAAAACAAGAAAATAAATGTTTTTTTTAATTTCAAAAATAATATTTAATCGATGTGTTGCTACATGCAAAAATATGATAATAATTTGACATCTTATATATATTTACAGATATGTATATTATACATATAAGATATAGACCTTATAAAAGATTTAACATCTATTAATGGCATTTAGGTAAGAAATAGCATCTAAAATGTTAAAGAAATTTGCACTTGTAAATATGACATCCATAAAACAGGCTCTTCTAAAGCATAACTCATGCGCATTTGAAATTTACTCATGCATGTTTGAAGTTCATTAATCAATTTTATCCTAAATTTAAGAGATTCATGATTTAAGTATAATATTATAATGTTATAATTATGTATAATGTTAAACGTCTTCATAAGTCATCAGTGGTTTGTTTGTTGGCAGTACATGATTTAAGAAAGTACTATAATTTGTTTAGAATAATAAGTAATATTAATGTGAGTAAGAGACGTTACAAAACCAACCGGGTTGAGTAATTCATGCAGTTCATGGGCCTCCTTGGCCTGTTCCACAGCAATGTCTTGTTCTAGTCCCGCGTGCAAGCCTTTGTGATCCTGAAGGGCATCAAACTAAAACCCCATCTAATTTTTTATCTACACAAATTCTACTATAATTCTCAAAGAAATTTTTCGTGTTTTAAGCTTATTTGCGTGAAACAATAAATCTACATAATAATCAGTCATAGACAGGTTTATTGTTTTATTAAATTAGTTATGTCTCTATTGTTAGTTTATAGCGTTAGTAACATTTTAAATAAATTATATAAAATAGTATTATATTAATGTTAATGTAGTAAATAAAGCAGTAAAATTTTTAATAAGAATATCATATTCTTTTCAAATATAAAAATCAGACGCATGATTATTGCTGTAGAAACCACCAAGTATATAATAAATTAGCTAGATAACTAAATATTATAATATATAGATAACTTATGTTGCATGCAGTGCATTAGAACAAATTATTGTATCATCCAAAAGGCAAACCAATAGTATTAAAATAACAGTATAAAAGTAATTACATAGATCACAACATAAAGCAACTAATATTACAGAAGCCTTCAAGCAACGTGTTAATGAGACAAGAATATTTTTTACATATTCCAACAAAAATTAAATTATTCAAAAAATATATAATTGTATAAAATTCATACATGCTCATATGGAGAAAAAAGAAAAAAAATCTTAGCAGTTGTGCAATTCAAATGGTCAGTATTAATGTAACTTTAAATCATGTCTGTGTTTTTTTAAGAATTAGCATTTTATATTGCAATATAAATATATAATTGACACATTATTAATTTGTAATTTTTAAAATTACTATAGTACTGAAACAAAAACAAAGAGATAATATCATTGATGCAATTTGAATTTTATTAGATTGACAGCCTTTTGACTTGCACAACCTGTGATATAATGATCTGTCAAGATAAACTTACGCTAAGTTTTAGTTGATCCTTGAGCCATGTCAAATAAAACTGAAGATCAGTTTTTTCCATGAGATCATGACTCCAGCAGGCTAACTTGGCTATAATGCGTGACGTCATATTCATTATAAAGCCATCTTGTCTATTCAACAGATTAAGGAATGGTCCCCAAACAGATTCTCGTTTTCGCGTAGAATGCTCACGAAAGATTTCCACACGACTGCGATCCTCCTATTAATAACATTGCATTAAAATCTCAATTAATAAGGATAGAATAGTCTTGACTAAGAATATTAATAAAAAGAATTTCATTTGTTTTACATAAAGAAAAATAAGAAAGATGCATAACTATACCTGTAGCATATCATCAATCATAGTGAGAATGTATTGAATTGTTTGATCCTTCGAAACATGGCCGAGCAAATTAAGAAATATTTTAGCTGCCTGATGCGGATTTTCCTTTAGCTTATTTTCTCTTGCTTTAGCATCACTTGTGTCAAAGGCTGCTATAAAGTCATAGTCTTCTTTCCATATCATTTGTGATCTGAAAACATTAAATGTTCTTAAAATATTTCTTCTATAAATATTTTCATATTTTCATGCATCATCAAGTTTATATTATTAATCAGTATATTTTGAAGTTTTCAGGTTTTTCAAGAATAATTTATAAGTACTTACTGGTAGTATGCGTACCAATTAATTCGTTGATTCCTAATATCAGCAGCTTGCTGTTGGAGCACGCTTGTAGCTGCCAGCATATCTGCAAAATCAATGTATGAATGTTACATAAAAAAAAATAACAGAATAACAAAACCTTTTATATAACTTAGAGCCCATCTTACTATTCTAATAGTAACAATATAATTATTAAAAAATAAAAAGAGATATTACTGGGAGGGGCACTCTGTCAAATTGAATCTCTATTAAGTATACGGAATGTAATTACCAATTTTTTCATCCGGCAATGCCGGTATAATCTGTTTGATATTTGCACGATCCACCATGATTGTTATCGAGATTTTGTGTTAATTTATACAGAAATTATCTCGTTTGGAATATTAGACTTCTGATCTTTTTTCTGTTCTTCGTTCTCTTCAGCTGTTCGATCACAAGACAGTGCAAATACCAACCTAATCTGACAAAATCGAGATTATTATCTCAATATTCCTAGATATTCTGGGATTTTTGTGGCGTAATGATGGCGAGTAAACAGTGCATGCGTGGAAAACGGTTTTCTAGCGAATTGTGTATGTGTGTACACATACAACTAAATATACAAAATTTCAAGATTTTTTTTAACAAATAATCCTTGTTCAACTATGTTGAGTTAGTTACTCATTTACAAAATAAAATTTGTCAAGATTCATATCTGTTTGTTAAGTTATTAGAAATTTTGAGAAATTAAATAACATTATCCTTATTATGCATAAGGAAGAGAAGCGTTTAGCGTATTATTTTGTTTTTTATGATCAATTGTAAAAAAAAAAAGTATCAGAATACACTGCAAAAAAATGTACAAAATGCTTTTTAAAAAACAAAATTTTAGATTACAATAAAATTTTCAACTCATTATATATTTTTTTCTACTTTTTTTAAGCAAATTTTTTAAAAATATAGAATCATGTGGAAGACAATATAAAATAGAATAATATAGACATAATAGTAGGATATAGTAATAACTTTAACATTTGCAAGTCTTTAATCTAAAACAAAAAATGAGTAATAACTTTAACATTTGCAAGAGTCTTAATCTAAAACAAAAAATGAAGCTAATATATAAGCTGCAAAATTGTATTATTTTAATTGATGTAGAGATATTTTTTTGCATATAACAGTTTTAGAAAAAGAATGTTCCAGAGTTTGATGTAACAGCATCATAGATGAAGGTATTGTGAACAGATTTATATTGATTTGTGATAAGTTTGATGGTTTCCTGCCCTGCAAGACCACCTAGAAACGCCGATACAGAGTGCAATTCTGCGCCACCGAATCGGCAAAACTCGTGCACATAATCATCTTTAGCTAATGGTCCACATCCCCATTCGCTTAACAGTTTTGTCAGGCATGTCTGTAATATAACTCAATTGCAGAATACTGTGATGGTAATATGATCATTCTATTAATGAATTATATAATTAAAAGAGGATACCTTGAGTTTTACAATATCAGGTTCCACTTGGTCATCGAATTCGCCAGGATATGAATTATATTCTGCTTGGAATTTATCCATTCCCCGGAGCATAACATAGTAAATCATCATACTCTCTGGGGTCTCCAAATTTTGAACTAGAAAAAATGTGAAATCAAATATTAAGAGCAGTTTGAATAATAGCTATTATAATTATATAATTTTTTTTTATAATTATATTTATATATAATTACATAATTTTTTTGTATAACTATAAATAATTAATTTATTATAGCTAATGTAATTTTGCATATTTTGGGAGAATAAATAATCACCTATGATATTAGTATCAAAAACCTTGGAATCGTATTCATCTGCAATACAGCTTCCTTTCTCTACATGAATGTTAGTGACATGTCTGCAGAACAACTTAACATCCTTTTCTAAAATTGAATCTGATGATCTCCCCAATTGACGTAGCAATTGCAAAGTGCGTCGCCATACAGCTTCTGCATCTGCTAATGCTTGCTTATAATAACTGAAATAAATTCGATTAATCTATAATTATAGATATCAAAAAGTAGAATACAAAAAAATAGTCCAATCATGGTAGTCAATGTGTGATAATAAGTTTTAATAATGCGTTCTTCAATATTATTAATAATATTGTAATCATATTAATTAATTTGGTAATTATTAATAATAATAACTATTTAAATGTAATATTACATTAATATTACATTAACATTTGCTATTTTTTAAACAATGAACTTACTAACAGAATTCTTATTTACAAGATTGAACTATTTTCTTATGCACCATCTTATATATAATAGTTTTATTTCAAGATCAATTTCGTACATTTGTTGGAGCGTAATATATTTTTCAGTGTCTGCAGTCATGTCAGGTAGAGTACCCTTAAGTGGTAATAGTCCTTTACCTTCATTATCAACGAAATCACGCACCGCTTTTGCGATAATCCAGAAAGAGCTGCTCTAAAATAAACCAATCAGTTTGAACGCATATTTTTCTAAACCATATATAAATTGTAGAAACGTGTCATTGATACCTTTGCTGTCAAATTAATGCAACGATCATCATTTAAAATATTTTTAATATTATCCGGAATATCGCTCGCTCTTATACATGTATTCACAGCCCTCATAGCTTCTTCGAAATTTTCCTCGCTATTCGACGAATCTTGTTCATCGCGTCTTATGCCACTCTTGATCATATCTCTGAGCTGTTGTTTGTCTTTGTAAAGTTTTGGTAAAGTACGATGCTCCAAAATCCACTTTTCTAAGTATTTATATAGAATAATTAGATATGGTACATGACAATGATCTTTAAAGCTCATTTCATCCAAATTTATGGAATCTAAATGTTTCTTCAAGCTATCAAATGGTCTATCTAGACGTAAATCTGGCGTTTCATTGTCTGGATGAGTTTCTATAACAGTATGCTCCTTTACTTGAATGCGCATATATGCAATAAAGCCTATACTCCTACATACTATTAAAGGAATATTCAATTCCCAAAGTCTTTTCGACAAAAGAACCAATGTCCTGAAAAAGAGAAATGTGTTCAAAAAAAAATATATACTATATTTACATTAATACCTAACCCAGGAATGATATGTAAAGATATATAATATGTAAGTAGTTCATTCTATTTAAATATTTTTTATAAATTATATATAACATCTGTGTAATTAATATTAACATTTTTCACAATATAATATTTTAATGTCAGAATTCTTACTTCTCGGTTAGCGCAGTAGCTACAACCACAGTGAAGCTATTGAAAAAATCTGGACTATTGGATAAAATTTGTTCAGGCTCTTCATCAATGTAATCACCCGTTACATCCGGATTCAGCTCCAAAAGCATTTCAGTGGCTACTTGAGCTCTGGATTTTCCAACACTGTCTGCTTCTAGAAAAAAACTAATTCCAATCCATTTAATGTATCACATTGAAATAAGTCTCGAGAGTATACTATTGATCTGACAGTTACAATATTAATAATATATACATACTTAGGTTCAACATCCTCAATAGTAATTTTCTTGCCATCCACTATAGTGAATGCTCCTATACCTGGAAGTACTAGCGATTTCAATATCTCTGTGCCAAGTCCAGTGGCATTTATAAGACAGACATGAGCAGCTTCTAAAGTTGCTTGGCCATGATCGCCCCATAATCTGTCAATAATAAAGATTGTACAGTGAAAAATATCTCGCCATATAAAAGAAAAAGAAAAAAAACAAATATATATGAAAAAAAAATGTAACTAAAATTATTGAAGTGACAGAATTGTTTGTTTAAATAGAAAACGAGAGACAGGACAGAAAAACTGTCATATATAACCTCAAAATTTATTATAATTAGCATACCTCAACTGCCTGTCATATTTTCGATTTTTTTCGGATTGTTCGGGTGATTTTGATTCGGGAGATGCCATCGTAGAGATCAATTTGAGATAATAGTGCAGTAATAGGACTTCGAGACGCACACAACCACACGAATACAGCAGACAGAAGCGGTAATGACTGACAGATTTACATGTATATGTGTAGATTTATAATGTATACGTGAATGTGTGTAGACATATTATACATATATGCGGCATGATGAATTGTTATGAATAATAGATGGTTTTGAAGTTTTGGATCGCATATTGACATAAACACACAGATATATGATAAAGTAAAATTTATGAAAAATACACTCTTACGATACAATAACAAAAAAATATTAACTATATTATATATTCGCAGTTATATTTATAGATTTTAATAAATATATTTGGAAGCTGATGCATATATATACATAAAAATATAATATATTTTTGTTAGAGAAAGATTAAAAATTTTATATCCGACGAGAATTAAACATTAATAATTTTATTGAAAATTGAATTTTATTATTCGTATTTAGAATTATTGCATTATCGTAATGTTTAATTTGCAAAAATTGACCTCATATTAGAATTATTATTTTATTATATAATAATTACACATAAATATAAGACCTATGGCAGCCACAATATCCATTCGATTATTCGTGTTTATTTGGATTGACAACAATATGGATTAGAATGTAATGATTTTAGATTGGAAATAATCCGCGAAAGCGATATTAAAACCGATTATAGTTCGTTCGGAATTAAAATCGATTACTTTTTAATCCGGGCGCGGATTGAACCGATTAAAACCGATTAAAACGGATTATGTTTTAATCGGTTTTAATCGACCATTTTTGGTAGGGCTAAAGCAGGGAGCATACACTTTTGCATAAGCGCATAATCATAAGCATAAGGAAATTGATTGGTCCATTTCTTTATGCATAAGGAAATTGATCAATCAATTCCTTTATGCTTATGATTATGCGTTTATGCAAAAGTATGTGCTCCCCGCTTTATCCTTGTTTAACATTCGGTGAACAACAAGGATAAATAATGCATCATGCGCATCGTGCATGAAACGGAACGCAGCCATTGAAGATCCCGCGTGGTGACAATCTGACGATGCAAAACTCCGGTTTCAAAGTTACTAAAAAATAAATTTTTAGGGTTTTTTTCCGTTTCATGCATGATACGCATGCGCATCGGAGTTTATCTTTTTCTCTCCATATTGGAAGAAGAAAGATAAGCTCTGAACTAGTGCAGCCAGTTCAGCTATAAAGAACAGACCTATATATATTTATATATAAATGCATTGAGCGTGTTTGACTTTGACATTCGTTTCACATTGCGTTTTAAATCTTTAGATCTGTACATAATTATCTCGTTAACACGAAATAAAATGCGATCTGATTTTTTTACATGACTCATATTGCAAACATAAAACGTTTCGAAATCGATGATCAACATTCGCTAATAAAGTATGGCACTTAATTAATAATCATAGTGATCTTAACCTTATATATAATCCAAAAATTAGGGAGGCTTGCTCTCCTTTTTGTAATTCGAACGCTATGGAAGTGCGACGATTGTAACCAATTTACAAATTGACCTGTGACAGTGACATAATAACACAAGTTTATATACGAAATTATTCTGTTATATTGTAAAGTATATTATATCTTTTTAAAAAAAAGTCTCATAGCTTCAACTAGCTCGCGATTAACTTAGAGAAACTGCGTAATATACGTAAAAATTTTATACACACAAGGGCATCATGACTAAATACATAGACTTGTCAATTAAAAATGCAACAGCAGAAATTTAATTGCATATACAAATCTGAGTCTTAATTATACAATATCTTTCTACACATAGAATCTAAATATAGATTTGTGTGATTTTTCTTCACAGAAAAAACAAAATGCGTAGCAGAAGCAACTCCGGTGTCCGTTTGGACTACTATCAAAGGATTGTTCACAAAATAATCATGAATTATCAGAGTCCTGTCACTGGGCTCTTTCCTGCAAGTCCTGATAATGATCACGCTTGGATACGTGATAATGTTTATTGCATACTTGCTGTATGGGGTCTGTCAATGGCCTATAAGAAGATAGCAGATGCCGATGAAGACAGAGCAAAAACTTACGAACTCGAACAAAGCTGCGTCAAGTTAATGAGGGGTCTGTTGATGGCAATGATGCAACAGAAGGAAAAAGTGGAGAAGTTCAAATCCAGTCAAAATCCACATGATGCTTTGCATGCAAAGTATAGCTCTGTTAATGGTCAATCGGTAGTTGGAGATACAGAATGGGGACATCTTCAAATCGATGCCATTTCTCTGTATCTTTTAATTCTGGCCCAAATGACAGCTTCTGGCTTACAGATTGTTTTCAATTTGGATGAGGTATTATTATATATATTCTATATTTATATACTATAAGTTTGAAGAGTATAACTGATATTTTTTTAAATATAATATTACAATTTATTTTTAATTACAAATATGTATGATTGCATAGTCCACATTTACAAGATTAAGAAAATATTTTAAATTTAGTGCTTACTTTATAGGTGGCCTTTATTCAGAACTTGGTATTTTACATTGAATCCGCTTATTGTACACCAGATTATGGGATTTGGGAAAGGGGGGATAAAACTAATCACGGCTTACCGGAATTAAATGCAAGCAGTATTGGTATGGCTAAAGCTGCGATGGAAGCAATGAACGAATTGGATTTGTTTAGCGCGAGAGGTGGACCTACATCGGTCATTCACGTTCTGGCCGACGAAGCGCAGAAATGTCAAGCAGTGCTACAATCCATGTTGCCTAGAGAATCAAATTCCAAAGAGTTGGACAGTGGTTTACTGTCGATCATAAGTTTCCCTGCGTTTGCAGTGGATGAACCTAATTTAATTCACGAAACACGAGACGCCATCACCAAGAAATTGCTAGGACGATATGGTTGTAAAAGATTTTTAAGAGATGGATATAAAACGCCAAAGGAGGATGCAAACAGGTACTATTGCATATGCAGTATTATCTTATATTTTAAATTTGATTTATTTTGATTAATAATTCTTATTTTTGAGAATAGATTGTATTACGAACCATGGGAACTTCGTATGTTTGAGAATATCGAATGTGAATGGCCACTGTTCTTCTGTTATTTAATATTGGACTATTGTTTCCAAGGCAATAAAGAAGCAGTTGAAATGTACACTAAGCAGTTGGAGGATGTAATGATTAAAACAGATGATGGTATGAAATTGATGCCTGAATTATATTCTGTTGCATCTAAGGATGTATCAGCAGAGTATGCCGAACCTGGTAGTCAGAGCCGAATAGCTTTAGGGAAATGCCCATTTATGTGGGCGCAATCTCTTTATATCCTAGGAAAATTGCTGCAAGAAGTAAGTAACACATTCATAAACGTGATTGAAACAGATTAAAAAATATCTTAAATTGCCATATTTAAAAGAACATTACATATGTTTTTTTTGTAGTTTACATATATATTTAAAATCTCGAAAGTATTCAAAAAAGATATTGTATAATTTGTTTTATCTGTTTCTTAATAATATTATCACGGCTTACCGGAATTAAATGCAAGCAGTATTGGTATGGCTAAAGCTGCGATGGAAGCAATGAACGAATTGGATTTGTTTAGCGCGAGAGGTGGACCTACATCGGTCATTCACGTTCTGGCCGACGAAGCGCAGAAATGTCAAGCAGTGCTACAATCCATGTTGCCTAGAGAATCAAATTCCAAAGAGTTGGACAGTGGTTTACTGTCGATCATAAGTTTCCCTGCGTTTGCAGTGGATGAACCTAATTTAATTCACGAAACACGAGACGCCATCACCAAGAAATTGCTAGGACGATATGGTTGTAAAAGATTTTTAAGAGATGGATATAAAACGCCAAAGGAGGATGCAAACAGGTACTATTGCATATGCAGTATTATCTTATATTTTAAATTTGATTTATTTTGATTAATAATTCTTATTTTTGAGAATAGATTGTATTACGAACCATGGGAACTTCGTATGTTTGAGAATATCGAATGTGAATGGCCACTGTTCTTCTGTTATTTAATATTGGACTATTGTTTCCAAGGCAATAAAGAAGCAGTTGAAATGTACACTAAGCAGTTGGAGGATGTAATGATTAAAACAGATGATGGTATGAAATTGATGCCTGAATTATATTCTGTTGCATCTAAGGATGTATCAGCAGAGTATGCCGAACCTGGTAGTCAGAGCCGAATAGCTTTAGGGAAATGCCCATTTATGTGGGCGCAATCTCTTTATATCCTAGGAAAATTGCTGCAAGAAGTAAGTAACACATTCATAAACGTGATTGAAACAGATTAAAAAATATCTTAAATTGCCATATTTAAAAGAACATTACATATGTTTTTTTTGTAGTTTACATATATATTTAAAATCTCGAAAGTATTCAAAAAAGATATTGTATAATTTGTTTTATCTGTTTCTTAATAATATTAAATTATATATATTTTTTTCTTATTAAAATCATGGTATTAATTAATATATTAATAACGCGATTGTTTCATAATTCTACCTTGTTATAGGGATTTCTCGCAGTTGGAGAGTTGGATCCATTAAATAGAAGATTATGCAGTGAGAAAAAGCCAGATGTAGTGGTGCAAGTAGTTATCTTGGCAGAAGACGCAGAGATCAGGGAAAAAATTGCACAGCATGATATTCATGTGCAAACAATCGCAGAGGTTGCGCCGATCGAAGTACAGCCTGCAAAAGTCCTCAGTCATCTATATACATATTTAGGTATGAATACAATTGCAGATAGAGCTCAAAGATACATTTTACTGAACTATAATTTAAATCTCGACATAATTTGCTGTTAGGACGCAACAAGAAACTAGGCTTATCCGGACGTAAGTCAAGAGATGTAGGAATCCTCAGCACTAGTAAACTGTATTCCTTGCACGATAAGATATTTGCGTTCACGCCTCAGGTAAGTGACTACAATTTTTATGATGTGCTTTACCATCTCTCTATATCTTTGTTTCTTTTTCTTACGTTTCCTCTTGTTCTCGCACCGAATTGACTAGTTGACAGATATGACCCGCTTCTACATCGCATCGGACTATGAGCTCATGATTGACATATTCAAAGGTGAAATTAATTTCTTGAAGTCTAGTTGGCAGAATATGTTGGGCCGGCCTCTCGTGGTCATGCCCCTCAAGAATATTCATCTAGGTAATTTAACGATTTCACAAGATTGTAGTTGATTTTTATAATCATTAATTTAGGTGTTCTGAAATTTATTGAAGCTGCCAGAATTAAACAAATTCTTCGGTTCTCTTATATTTTAAAAATTCTGAAAAATTTCTTGCGTTAGATAATTTATTTTCTTAAAATACTGTGACTGTCCGCTCTTAATAACTAACGTGTCTGCTTGCATGTACTTGTACTTGTGATGTGGTTCTCATTTAACAATTATTTAATCCCCTATGGTTTAATGTAATTTTCAATTTTATCTTGCAACCTTCTTTTCTTTTTCTGGGTTTATGTCATATATAACTTAAAAATGTATTATAATATAAATTCTGGATTCAATCTCTGTAACTTAAGTCCAGTAATAATGTAATTCAGTTTTGACATCAGTACATAATATTATCCATAGAGGGTTACGATACGAGCTTTTAATTATTTTTCATTTATTTTATATTTCATTACATTCTTCATTACTAACATGACCCAAACATTGAAAGTGGATGAAATTGTGAGTTGTATCGATATTGAAGATGTTCGACCAATACAAGACAGAATAAACACGAAATGTTCGAGGCGAGACAAATTGCTTATTCTTCAAGCATCAAACAATAAAATTATTCTAAAGATATGGCTTTATTATGTGTTCGGTGGTATGCGCGTGTGTTGCATGTGTTAGAACATTGACACGGAGGAGAACTACACGACAAACGACGTCGACCTGCTTGTCGATACTTTCACAACCACCTTGGCCTTCCTCAAAATCAACTGGAAGCAAATGCTCGGCAGACCAACCGTAACCCTTGTCGCTACTCATAATCATTTAGGTACGCCTTCGTCGGAAGCTTTAGATATCATCCTACAACGAAAAGCTCGTCGGATATTATATACAATTATATTATAATGTGTTACTGTGAGAGTTGTTAATTACATATAGAATATCACAAAATTCGATAAAAATGCTGTAGCAGAAAAATTGGAAAAACAAGCATATAATTTTTTATTTATGTTATTTTCGAGCAATAGCTTTTTAAATACGAGTTTAAAGTGTGGCCAAAGCTATGATTAAAAAATATTGCAAAATGCTCTTTAATCAACATATCTGGTCTAATTTTTAAAAAAACCCTTGTACTTAAAAAATTATTGCTATCAAAAATTGCATGCATTTTATTCTTTAATTTTTCATAAACTTTTTTTGCTACAGTATTTCTATCTGAATTACCCTGTATAGAAAATACAGGATACGTTATCGTCTTCAGCACGAAAGGCATAATCTTTTACTTATTTATTGATTTTTTAAATCAAAATTTAACAGTTATTTTTTTCTAGATCAGGGTAAGATACCGTTAGCCATGATAACTACCATGAAGAAGCTCAAGAGCGGCTACATCAACGGTACAAGAGTATCATTGGGAAATTTGAATGATTTCTTAAGCACGTCGTGTATCACAAATCTTAGTTTTCTGGGAAGTTCCGAGGATGGTCGTCCTGATAAACTAAATCCTCAGGTATATAAAATTTAAATTATATATCTGAATATCTTCTCAGAATGAAATTGCAGCATAAAACATACATGCATACTCGAGAAAAAATGGACATTATATCATATATGACCATATATAATTATATCCGACAATTTGGCGCGATTGTATATGCGCATATAAATCGTGCCAAATTTCGTATAGTTATATATGGCCATATATGATTTTATATAATCATATATGTATGACCATTTTTTCTCGGGCATATACAATATTGACAGAATTCTTTTTTGCAAAATATAATCTAAGTACTTTGTCTTACAAATTTTAATGCCATTTTCCAATCAATTCCCGCATGCTTAGCGTATAAATCCGAATGGCATAAAACTTTCTTTGATCTATACATATAATTATGATACTTAAATTTACGTTTTTTATGTCTACACAAGATTCAACAATATTTGGAGGAACATCTAATGCGGCCATTTCCTCATCGTACAGGACTTCTCAATAAGCCCGGTCCAATTCGTACAGGAAAAAGTCTACGACGCAAAATGTCGGTGAAAGGCGCGATAAAAAAGACGCGATCCATAGCTGTCGAACGTGAGTAACATTTGTTCCGGATGGATTTTCTGATTCTAACTGCGTGATGATTATATGTTTTTTAAAGAGGATCTTTAAACAATTATTGCAATGTCTTCCTACTGCCATGATTAACACCATCTTCCAAGAATGTAAGTGTATTAACTGGCTGTTATATTATTTGATTTCTGTCTAATCTCTTTAAAAAAATCGTGATTTTGTACTTTTAATAAAACGCACAATGCGATTCATCGTTACTGTCCAACTTTTTCAAATATTTAATATAATATATATTGTTGCAATACATAACTATACATACATATTAATTGTTAAGAGGATGCCGGATACCGACAGAATGCGAATATTAGTAGGATTGCAAAATATTTTTGTTGATTATAGATATCAACAAATCCTTTTCCATAATTAAAGTATACATAATAACGGAGTGCGGCGTTTATGATTTCATATGAAAAGTGCCGCAAAACCCTTATATTAAGCAAATATATAATTATTATGGCCGGTAAAACAGGACGGTCCGGCATCCTCTTAATACATATTTATATACAAAACTAAGTTTATATAATAAATAATGTTTTAATATGAGATACAAATATTAATATATATTATTAAATTTATCAGATTTAAAGCTTTTTTTTGCATAATTTTAGCCGAAATTCTTGGGATGGCAGGGGAAGACCGTAGACCTTCTACTATTTTAACTGCAAATCCATTTATTGAAGTGACAGACACCACATTGTCTCTCAATTCCACTCAACCGATGACGGTTGAGCGCACGCCATCTCCAACGGATGAGCTATTAGCATGGAGAAATTCTTCTAAAACTAAATATAAAACAACGTCCGAGACTCAGTACGCTGAAACCGAGGTGGAGGAATTACTATCTATGCTTCGCGAAACAGAAAGTCTCGAAGAACAAGGAGATATCCTGCAATATCTTGTTAGTTTTATTTTAACTTATGAAGCAATGGTCTCCATTCAAACTCGTTAAAATGGAATAAACATTTTATATATAGGTAGACTCGAAAGGATTATACTTTGATACGGGTGTAAAGGAAGAAGGACATCCCGTTTTGGTGAAGGATTTGTTAAAGAGTCTTTACGAAAAAGTATGTCAACAGAAAATGTGGGGTATCGTGCGACACAGCGCTGGCATGTTAGGTAAAAGGGTGGAGGACTTAGCAAAGGCGGTTACCGATTTGCTAGTGCGTCAAAAGCAAGTCACTATCGGCATGCCGCCAAACAACGAGCATACCATTGTTGCGCCTTTGCCAGAAAACGAGTTACGAGCTCTAATCCATCAGGCCTATGGCGACGACGAATCAACCGCCATGCTGACAGAAGAATTGCTCGTTTATTTAGCGATGTTTATCAGAACGGAGCCGCAACTATTTCACGAGATGCTGAGATTGCGGGTCGGTCTAATCATTCAAGTTATGGCAACGGAACTGTCACGAACATTAATCTGCACGGGCGAAGAAGCTTCCGAGCACTTGCTAAATTTGTCCCCTTTCGAGATGAAAAACTTATTACATCACATTATGAGCGGGAAAGAATTTGCTATTAGTAGTGGTATGTTTTGCGATTTAGTTAAAAATTTGAGATATTATGCGCGCTCGAATGTGCTGATTATATTTATTTATATTGCAGTTGGCCGGGGCAACTTTTCTGTCATCAGTTGCAAATCGAGTAGACTGAGTAAGGTAATATTGTCAGTATAATATAAAACTACATTTGATTGTTTTATAATTTCTAATATACTTATATATATATTTTAATTTATAATGTACTGAATCATATTTAAATTTTTAATTATTTGATTTAATTTTATTTTTTTGAAATATTTTAACTATGACAGCTATTTTAACTTACGATTTATATTTATTTCATAAACATTATTGAATTCATTGAATTCATCATTTATAAATTAAACGAATATATGTGGAGAGTTGAAGATATTCTTTTTGCATAGAAATCTCAAATTGGTGGTTTCTTAAGTGCTGAACAAAATGCCGATAGTACCGAAGCAGAAGCCGATCGACAAGGTCAATGGTTACGGAGGCGACGATTAGACGGTGCACTGAACAGAGTACCAAGAGATTTCTATCCACGTGTGTGGCAAGTACTTGAAAAGGTAAATTCATAAATCACTATTATCTCTAATAATTTATATTTATAAAATTTAACAACTTTTAATTCCCCACAAAAATTAATTTTCAACAGTGTAACGGTCTAGCAATTGAGGGAAGAATGCTGCCTCAGAATCTCACGCAAGAGATGACATCTGGCGAGCTGAAATTTGCATTGGCTGTAGAAACTGTACTGAATACTATACCACAGCCAGAATATCGTCAACTTGTCGTCGAGGCTCTAATGGTGTTGACACTAGTAACTGAATATAATGTTGTACCATCTTTAGGTGGTCTGATCGAGGTTGAAAATTTAGTGCATAAAGCAAATGCTATTTTCTTGGAAGATCAGGTATATCTCAATGTTTATTTGTTTATATAAAATATATTAACGAATGTGAAGTAATATTATATTATCTAATAGAATTTTCATAAAGGAAAAATGTGCAATAAAAAATGAAGGATATAAGAGTAAGAATAGTTCACTAATTTTCTTATTTCATGCAATTTATATCAGCAGTGATATCCGTTATTTTGTCAAAACTGATATTGATTTCAACTATGATATAATATTTATTTTCTCTAAAAGAGATAAGCCCTTTATTCTCTATTAAAACTTGCACACAAATAATATAGAATGGATAGTGTTGCTATCATGATATAAAAAAAAATAGTATTTCTTTTCCCTATATTCTTCAAGTGTGAAAAATAATTTCTTCAATTTCCTGAAATTTGTAGATGACTATTGATGGTGATGCAACACTATGTTGTGCAAAACCAAAGGAACAACGTGAAATGACGGCTATGGGAACACTCCTCTGTGGTGGAGCAGCATATATTTGTCAACACTTTTATGATAGTGCCCCCAGTGGAAGTTATGGAACAATGACGTACATTACGAGAGCCATCGCCGTGATGCTTGATTGTTTGCCGAAGGATGGCGATTTGGAATGTTCAATATCGTAGCAAATATTATTTTAGTGACAAATGATCTTTAATTGTAGCAAAGAATGTCAATATAAATATCTCAGATAAATCTGTTTTGCGATTTTTTTATATATAAGTTTCGCATTGTGTACAATTATCTTATAACATTTTTATCTGAATTGAGAGAAAAAATGACCAAAGTGATCATTATTAAATATTAATTATGTATTGTAGAAAGAGAATATTGAAATCAATGTTAAAATAGTACTTTGTTATATATTGAACTTTATTGCACATTTTGAAAAAATGAGAAATTGAATCAGCAATATGCTAAGAGAATAAATCATGTTTTGTTGGTTCCAATAAATCTACTTTATTCTGTTTATTGCATTAATATATTTGTCAAAAAATGCATCTCAAAGAAAGTTTGTAATATTCAAGAAATTAGGTTGAAACTTTCTTTGCATTATCTAACACAAATAGAAATTTTTTACCTATTTGTTCTTCTGACTTTTGGAGAAAGGATTTAGTTTATTTAACCAAGAGGAACTTCTGTGAAAAAAATTTCATTTATTAAAAAATTTGAAACATGCAAGTAATATGCGTAAATAGTATATAAATACATACGTTTCCTCTGGTAATACATCTACGTTTTCAGCTTCTTTAATTTTATTCTCCTTGAGTTTGGCAATTAATTCTGCTCTATATCGAATTTTCAAAGGTTGTGGTATTGTTTTATTCATTTTCAGCCACTTTATCGAAGCTTCTGGAAATGTCAAACCATACCATTCTATTTGCTTTCTTGTGTACTGAAAATATATTAATGTTGCACATAACAATTTATATATTTAATGTAATATAATGTGTCGCATAGAAATATCAATATTTCGAACTATTTCATTCATCATCAAACTCATTTTTTTATTTCAACATTTAGTATATTTTGCTTTAAATCTTTTGATGCAGTATATAGAATAATTACTTACAACCGACAGATATTTCTCATACTTGGCATACACCTCCTCACGCTTTTCTGGGTCATCAGGATATAAAGTCTTATCTGCTAATGCAGTAAGTATCTTACGTTTCAATCTCAGAGCAAGTAAAGATCTTAAATCGCAAGCTTCTGTCTATAAATAATAATTACAATTTATTCAAAGAAATCTTATAAAAAATTATATTTTTAAAAAATCTTGCAATATATATAATTATACTTTCTTTACCCGTTTAACTTAAAGATTAATGCACCTTTAATAGATAATGATCGAATCCATAATTTTCGTGAATTAATTTGATTGTTCTCTGAGTAACAGCAACACTCATATATGAGTCAAGAACTTCGCTATAGACAACAGACTTCTTCAGTTGAGGTATCCAAAAGTGTGGAACCCTTCTCTTATATTTACCCTTCTTCTTGAAGCCTTGCACAATGGCTTCTCCTCCCCATAGACCTTTATCAATTTCCTTTGGATACAATAGAGGTAATGGTACATTCTGTACTGGATGTCTGTAAACAGATTGTTCAAATAATTAGTATAATTCTTCAACAGTAAATTATTTATGACAGATAAGTATTTGTAATATATATGCAATACATTTATATAACAGTGTTATACAAGAGTCATTATTATGTTATTTCATGGAGGTTGTATAATAATGAGGCATAACGTACACTTCCCCAAACTTATTTGTCGTATAAGTGCCTTTCTTTTCAATATAATGAACTGCAGCGGGTGGCTTCTTCCATTCCATCCAGAACTTTTTGTACTCTGGCGGTAGCAGGGCACCCAGTCCGTTAGTCCACCGAGATGATCTTGCAAGATAATATAATCGCTGCAACAATTTCATACGTTTGTACTTTTATTTATCTCTTTTATTTACACTAAAACTCCATGTTTAATTGCCAAAGCAATATTTTTTTTCACTTACGTTTCAAGTCACAATAAATATTTTGCTCACATTAGCATAACATAAAATATTATAGACATTTTGTAGCAGTAAAAAGGAAATATTATAAATAGTAAAGTTATATTTTCCAACCAAAATTAAGACACAATGCACATAAGAGAGTGTTTTAAATATTAATTCCAATTCTCTTATATATAATAAATGGATAAATAGAATTTAATTCAAAACCATGTGATCAGTTATTGTCAATATTATTAAATCAATAGACGAATAATCTTTAGATTGAGTTTTGCATAAGACAACTTATATTACCTGTCCGCTTTCTTTAATCGACATATCGTTATACGATTTTTGATCACATGCAATTAAATCAGAATCATGAATACAATTTCCTAAAAAATCAAGTGCCACATTTTTATCAGCTTACATCTCGTAAGGGTGTGTTCGAAAATCCTACGCGTGGGGTACAGTATAATTTAACTGACCAATCAGAACAAAAAGAGCAAAGATTTCTTTATTCTGATTGGTCAATTAAATGCTACTTTACTTTACGAGTAGAATTTTCGAACGTATCCTAAATGAGGAATCACAGATGCCATCTATATATTATTTGTCATTCATTTATCGGCTGAGTAAAATTATCATGTATCGATGTTTTCAATGTGTGCGTGAAATATTAATAATACTACTATATAAATATTAATATTCTTTTGTGCGATATATCGAGAACAATAATACTTCCTTCATTTATTGAATAAAAACATAAGGTATATGTCATTTGTGATTATCTCTTTGCATGCAATCGATATAATGTATAAATTTTCAATAGATCAAAAAAAATAAGTAAATGATGTATTATTCCAATTATTAATCTCAATGATTATATTATTTCGATATAATATCAATGAACTTTATAAAATTAATTAGAGATTTTATTTGAGTTTCTATAGATTCTTAAAAATCAGAAAAAAAAATTCAGACAGATAAATTAAAAATTTAATACCGCAGGAGTAAGCTCATTAAGATTGTATTTTATTATAATTAAAATTCTACTAAAGGAAGAAATGTGTGCGTTTATACACACACACACACACACGCACACATTTCATTTTAGTAAAACGCAAAAGCATCATGTCTATGTATATATATATATCTCTGATAATGTGTTATAATTTTTTATTTTGTAGAGGTTTATTTTTTAGGGTTATTTTTTAGGGGAAATTATTTTTTAGTTTTTTATTTTTTATGAGAAAATTATTTTTCAAGGAAAAATTTTTCTGAGAATTATTTTTTAGGGTATATATATCTCCGATAACGTGTTATAAAATAAGTTTATATACGATCTCATATATTATACATTTGGGGTCAATTTGCATTCGCGTCATCTGTTTGTATAAAGAGGTACACTGTTATTTGTTTCGAGCGACAGTACGAAAATAATGCTTGTGAGTCACTTCAATCTGTCCGCACATTTCATACAAACGTGCGCGTAAGAGAAATTTTGTGAGGATATTAATAAATATCGGACTGTCTGTGTGTAAGAGAGATGTTTAACGCAACACGATGCAAGACAGCAGGGTGACAGCAGATGCGGCATGCCCGATCTGATCTATATATAATCAATTTCTGCTCAAGATTGCGCGCGCGCGCGCGCGGCGCGCAAGAATTAATATTTCTCCAGTAGAAAATTCAATATTAAAATGATCAATTCGAATTAGACGCAAATTGAACGAATAAGTATCGACGATGATGTCGTAAAATTTGGAAATTTCTTCGAACAGGAATTTCTGCGATAATTATATTTTCAACTCCTTTTCCGCTTTTTTAAATTTATACTTCGCATCAAAATCGTTTTATTTTAGAACGTATAGAATATATACAATATGTATGTATGTATGTGTGTGTGTGTGTGTGTGTGTGTGTGTGTGTGTGTGTGTGTGTGTGTGTGTGTGTGTGTGTGTGTGTGTGTGTGTGTGTGTGTGTGTGTGTGTGTGTGTGTGTGTGTGTGTGTGTGTGTGTGTGTGTGTGTGTGTGTGTGTGTGTGTGTGTGTGTGTGTGTGTGTGTGTGTGTGTGTGTGTGTGTGTGTGTGTGTGTGTGTGTGTGTGTGTGTGTGTGTGTGTGTGTGTGTGTGTGTGTGTATATATGTGTGTGTGTGTGTGTTTTTTTGAATTTTCTACTGCAGGAATATTTTTTCTCTTAGCGAAAATTTTGATTACTTGTTTTTCATTCGTTCTAAGAAAAATATTAAATTTTTGCAATATTTTAAAGTAAAATATATTACGATATATATTTTATATGAAACATGTATGTGTGTATGTATGTATATATATACATATATATTTTAATTTTTAATTATTTTTGCTATTTGAAAAGTGACGCACATCTTGTCCTGAATATCTTTTCATATCTTTAAATTCAAGGCATCAATTTGTAAGTTTTGTTTTTAGCAAATCCTATTCTAAAGATTTGTTTATTAAATTAATGCTATATAGTCATACAGAAATACAAACTATTTAGATACAACGATTTCGCGAATCGTCTTATATTTTAATTGTTCTCGATATAATCGCTTGCAAGCATCGGTCGAATTTTTCTTTAATCGCCCGTCCAAAATAGAGATTTCGAAATTGTGTTTTGCTGTAAAACTCGTCATTTCTAAAAATAGTCTTCAAATGTTCTCTGTGTATCAAAAATTATATGTTTATTTATAAGCAACGATTTTCCCGTTAGTAAGTATTAATGCTTTCTTCTTAATTAAAGTCTTCTTAAAAAAGTTGAATAAATATCGGACATGTTAAAATACATTACCATCAATTCTTATAAAAAATTGCATTTTGCAATACATTTATATATGCTCTAAATAAAGTAATATATAATAATAAAACCGTATAGTAGACATTTTTAGTAGACATTTAGTTCCATAATCGCTTAGCGATTTCGTCGCAATATCCTCAGAAGTTTATTATAACATATACACACATATATATATTTATTAATTATTATCATATTATCACAAAATTGCAACATAT